TATATATTTATTTTTTTTTTTTTTTTCACTTGTTTGCACAGATGAAGTATTAGTAACCTAAATTGATACTAATATTTATTGTTTTAGTGCATGTGTATGACAAGCCCCCAGATATTCTGATCATTAGTTTTATATAGCCTAAATTATATAATGTAAAATTATTAAATATAAAAGTATATGTTAAAATTACAAAATAAACATTCATCGATCAGTACTTTTTACTTTTAATAATGAAGTGCTTAAAAAAAATCTAATACTTTTGTACTTTTACTTGAGTAAAACTGAAAAGTAGTAGTGACTTAAGGAGTAGTCTACTTACTTGATGCTTTTGCTGGAGTAGGCTAATATTTATCTGCACTTCTACTCAAGTATTTGATACTTTGTCTACCACTGGTTATGAGTGGTTGCTAGGGAGTTGTTGATTTTTTTTTTCAAAATAAGTATGAGCAATGATGATTTTTCACTATAAATACTTCATTTTGACATGAATTATGTCTTGTGTATGTGTTATGTTTCCGTTCATCTCACCGGCGTTTTCTGTTCTGTCAAGTATTGTGCAACCACAAGTAGGTCTCAGCGACTGGAGCCCTTGACAACAGATAAAGTATCTAATTTTATCAGTATGGCCAACACTCATTAATCAAAGTGACATTCATGAATATACAACGAACAAGAAAGAAATCAGAGGCTTTTCTAACAAGCCCTTTAAGTTGCTATCTCATCTTGCTTGTGGTTTATGACCTATGCTTGTCACTTGTCAGAGCATCCAAATTTATTTCCTATCAGTTTGATTATAAGAACAAAGAAGCTTATAGAAAAACCTATTATAAGACTTAAGACTACATCTTCAATAAAAGCCTATTGTTAAAGAGTGATATGTGAATTTGAATGCAAATAGGTGCATCATTTATGACCTATGCTTGTCACTTGTCAGAGCATCCAAATTTATTTCCTATCAGTTTGATTATAAGAACAAAGAAGCTTATATAAGACTTAAGACTACATCTTCAATAAAAGCCTATTGTTAAAGAGTGATATGTGAATTTGAATGCAAATAGGTGCATCATTCACTTAATTAATTGTCTCATCCATAAATTCATTTTTTGTCATTTACTATCCGTCATGTTGTTCTAAACCTATATTATTTGATTTTATTTAACAACAGGAGAAATCATTTTCCATCAAGAGCTTTCAAGCTCCAAAACGGACAAAAAAATTGTTATTTATGGGCTACTTTTATGTCCTTTTGGAGCTTAAAGCTGTAAAAAAAGCACCAAGAACATTTTCTTTCGTGTTTCAGCAATAATGAACAACATATTTTTTTTATAATTTTTGTGTGA